GAGAGAGAGAGAGAGAGAGAGAGAGAGAGAGAGAGAGAGAGAGAGAGCGAGAGAGAGAGAGAGAGAGAGAGAGAGTTTACCCTTTCAATCCGACCAATGAGACTGTCGATACGCTAAGATTTTCATAGTTGTGCAGGAGCACAAAGTGAGCTGACTGTGAGAACTTCCAGGTAAAACTACAAACCGTCTCAAGGTAAGTTCAACTCCCTCCGCTCTCATTGTTGCATTTGGCGCTGCCTGCATGAACAGGAGCACCCAGCCTGAAACACGGAGCCCAGAGCCTGAATGTATGTATGTACGCTATGCGAGTGTGTATGTTCATGGCTGGTTGCAATGGAGATCTTTTGCACCTGTGTTCTTCGCCTTTGTCCTCCTTGGTAAAGTTTTTGCAGCTCTTCGGTTCATATGCTTCGGCGGACCTGTTATCACTGCGAAAAACCAACACATTTAAGATCGATTGCGCAAGTGATGGGAGCAGGGGGATGTTGTATAGCGAGCGCCGACTTTACGCTTTAAAACACCGTTGGCTTCGACTGTTGTTTTGGTGTTTTACATATGTTACTCAACCCCAAAGTCAGGAAGGTTTGAACTCACGGGCTTTGCAGCAGGAGCGCTTCACGCACCTTCTTTAAAGACTGTAAAATAATGTGGTTTTTTTTTTTATGGTTGCAATTGCCGCCCATATGCAAAAAAAAAAGTACATTCAGTCCCAGTACTTGACTGCCAAAGACAAACTCGTTTAAGCGGACGGTCCGCCGCTGCAAAAGAAGCGAGGACGCTTGTTGTGTTGCTCCGAAATCAGTTTATTAGCGAAACGAAACGACGCCGTGCGCCTCGTTTGCTTTTAAATCGTTTCAACGAGCATACATTTCTCAAATGGCTCTGACTTCCTTCTTCAGTGCGGCCGTTTTGATAGGCTGTGTTGGCAATTAGTGTTTGGCACATTCCATACAGAGCTGTGGTGAACGACCACCTTGGGGCATTACCAACAGCCAGTTTAAAGTTGACATTTTTAGTTTACGCAATTAATAAAAAGTAAATAATATAGGGTATTACTTTTTTCGGAAGTAGCCATAGCTATAATGTGTAGGTTACAAAATGATACATTGTTTACAGTAACACAGGGTGATATTAATCGGACTACTATTTTGATTATGGTTCCATTCATTTTCCTCCTCTGATTCTCAAATGTAACGATTTGCTACGATATGGCCAACGTCTTCTACCCCGATGTAATTTCCTATCTCCTTATGTTTTCTGTTAATTCAATAAATTATTAATCCATATGAAAAACCCACATGGTAAAGACTATTTTGTGTACTTCTGTGTGAATTAAATACATGACAAAATGTACTGAGTATTTTCTCATTTAATTAAGAACTTTAGAGCAAAATTAACTAAAGTTTTAACTGAAATTATGCGATATTATAGCAGAATTCGTATCAATTAAGATTGTCTGTCTGACGAATTTGAGTGTGCTTGTTTATTGTCAATTTAGATGATGTATTTGTGTTTCATGATATCTCAATAAAGGAGTTCATCACAATACGGTTCCATTGAAAGACAGTAAATTATCATAATGACTCATCGCCCATGATAGTGATAGTAAACTGAATATCTTGTGGTTTTAGGCTGTTGGTCGGACAACACAATCAGTTTGAAGATGTCACCATGGGCTCTAGGAACTTGTTTGGGGCATTTTTCACTATTTTCTGACATTCTATTGACTAGAAATGTATCAATAGAAATGAATGACAGATTAAGAAATTTGCTTGAGTAATTACTCAACTCTATCACAATTTCCTAAAGCCCAAGATGATGTCTTCAGATGAACTTGTTTTTGTGACTTACAGTCCAAAACCTCTATCTATTCAGTTATCTATCACATAAGACATAAAAAGCTGCGTATCCTCAAAATGGACAAATTTGAAATTTTTGCTCAAAAATGTATGTATGGTCAATTAATTATCAAAATAGTTACAGATACATTTTCTGACTGTTGACTAATCAATGAATCAACTTATCTTTGCAGCTCTAAAGTTCACTAAAGGCTGCAAGCTCAGATTTGTAAATAGTTTATCATGTTGAAGTGATTATTTCCATTAAGATTTTGCATGTTTTGTGTGTGTCTCAGTTGAACAAGTTTCAGAGTAAAAGTTGCAGCAGAACACCTACAACATGCACAAACTCATTCAGAAGTACCTGACAGAGGGCAGATGGAAAGGCAGCGTACAGTAGAGCAGATGCAGGTTTTGGATGGTAGATTGAGTTGTGAATATCTGTGCTACTTTTAGTCGCTGGACACCACTCTCATGTTTCCCTGCGTCTGCCAGACCCCTGTCTGTGTTTCAATGAACCTGGTGCCAAGGCTTATGTATAAGCAGTTCCCACGCTCGCTAGTGGAAAAGGATCCTGTGTGATTCTGAATTTTCCTTTCAATTATATGAACCACTGATTGAAACTCACTGTGGTACTTCTGCAAGAAGAAGAAGAAAAAGATTTTAAGTGGTATATTACAACTGATTATGCTAAATTCTTCAAAGCTGATTTTTGCCACTTTTCTTTGCTCCCATCTGCAGCTCCTGATACTCAAGTCTTCTCCTCTTTAAGCCCTTGAGGCCGCTCCTCCAGGTTTTGATGCCCACACTCTTTGAAGCAGGTGGACAGACACAGGCATGAGTAACAGTGGGACCAAAGAGCCGTCTCCCGAGCTGAGCCCTGCCCAGTCACCTCCTGAGCCTCAGCGCCGGGGCAGAGGTCGGCCACGGAAACAGCTGCAGGTAGGGCTTCCTTCTTTAAGACATCAATTTGATCATCTCTCTCTTGGACCTTAAATCAAGAAGTATCTAAATAAAGAATGTAAAAGTAATTCTGAAAAACAAAGCTATTTGTTGCGTTTTCCACTGGTTAGTTATGGTGCTACATGTGATGTCTCTCTACAGGAACCTGTTGGACCACCGACTCCAAAGAGACCGAGAGGACGACCGAAAGGCAGCAAGAACAAAGGCCCCAAAACTGCACTGAAGGTTGAATCTGTTCAGAGTATCTGAGATGTTGATAAATGTATCTATATTTAAAATTACATTTCTGTATTGTAACAGTGCCTTGTTGCACTATAGTAATACAATCTACA